CCCACAGTTCCACTTCTAGCATCTGAGGCAATCTGTGGCAAGTTGTAAACACCAAAGGGCTTGGGTGGTTCTGCCCCTGTGGCACTTCTTGTGGTTGTAGGTCCCATGGCTTTCATCTTGGGCTGGCTCTTCTCCCTCCTTGCAATTTTCCTTAGGTGATCCACATTCCTGGCTTCTCCAAACTTCTGGGGTCTCCACTGTACCTTCAGCTTCACACTCACAGTTTCATATACTGCCTTCTCAGGGGCATACCTCCTGGCCTCGCAGGCCTTCTGAAATCTGGCCAGAAGCCTTCCTTACCCCACAACTCTTGCATTCTGTATGTGCCTAAAACCAGCACCATGTGGATGACGCCAAGCTCTGGTGCCAGCTGGAGCAGCAGCCAGGCTTAACAGTGCCTATGAACTAAATCCTGAGGAACAACTTCCCAAAGAAGCTGTCATTCTGGAACATGGTACTCTGGGGTTCTCTTTTCAAAGCAAAGTCTTTCACTTTTGCAGTTTTGAGGCTGCAAAGGGTGGAGTCCTGGTGCTTCTTGTGATGTCCTCAGGCCATCTTTTTCTATTCTCCTGTTCCTTCTCAGCAATCAAGATCTCCTCTGCCCTATCTTTGTAGGCCAGAACTTTACTAGACCTACCTTTCTGACTAAAGTCAAAATGTTTTAAATCATTCTTCTGGACTCTTTGCTCTTGATTCTCAATGTAAATCTGGCTAAAAGTCCCCAACAGAAGTCATGCCACTGCCTCAGCATTAGATTACCTTGCCATTTCTTCTGTCAATTTAATTAGTCTGCCACCCTTAAGTCTCAGTCTCAAGCAAAGTCTCTCTGGACATGAGAAAAATGCAGACAAAAGGCATAACACACATCATCTGGAGTTCAGCATCCAATGCAGTCCTTCTCAGCAGAAACCTCCAGCATCTGGTCTTAACTGGCTTTCTGGTCTTCTGAGCTCTGACTAGAATCTCCCATACAGTTCAGCATAAGGTCTTCTAGCTCTGCCTTTTCAGCCAGCATCTCCAAACCTTTCCAAACTCTTCGCTGAAGCCATTCCCAAAGGCTTCTGAACCACATGGTCAGGTATAGTCACAGCAATGACCCCATATCTCTGGTATCAAATTCTGTCATAGTTACTTTTCTCTCATTGCTGAGACAAAAATACCTGACACCCAAAGTTAAAGAGGGAAAGGTTTATTTAGCTAACAGTTTGTAGAGGTTTCAGTTCATAATGGGCTGGCTCTAAAGCAGAGCGGCACAAGGCAGACGGGCAATAGTTCGTGGCTACAGAGGATGACAAAAGCAACAAGGGAACCTCAACAGCATCTTTCTGGCCCTTTTATCTTACCCAGACTACCAGGGATTAGGGCAGTGCCAAACCAATCTGTGTAGTGGTTCAGTAATCAAACACCCTTAATCCCAGCATTACACAAGCTAGATTCAGCCACCTCTGAAAAAGCTCTATGATTGCATGAAGCCTTGGGGAGACATCTAGACCCAAACCGTAACATATAGAGAACCTTGATCCTTCTCATCAAGGTTTGAAGACCACCCACACCAGACCTATTAATTTAATATATGGAACTTCTCCAAGCCAAGATCTTGTTAGGGTCTGACCCAATCTAATCTAGACTATGGGCTTCTCTATTATCAGATCCCAGAGACAGTCCTTCCTGGAGGGAAGGAATCACATCTCAAATATATTCATCAAGACAAAAGAAGACTTTAAAGCTCCATTGCCTCCTTCAATTTATTGCCTCCCTTCTGGCCACAGCAAAATTTTGGCTTATCCTAGGTAGATGTTTTAGATGAGATTAAAGAAATAACCAGGATGTTTAAAAACTGCTATTAGTCTAGAAATGTCTACTCTCTGCAAAGATTCTTCTAACAAAGTTTTCTTTTTCATATCATCTCAGAATTATAGTAATTTTCTATTTTTTTTTCTTTTTTTTTTTTTTTTGTATGGGGGATCGAACTTGGGACTTCCTGCTTGCAAGGCAGGGGGCGGAACCACTGTGCTAAATCCCCGGCCCTCTATTTTATTTTATTCATTTACACATTTGTTAATCATTTTTATGTTCCCTCCTTTGCAAGACTTGAAAATTTTTCTATTCTTATTTTTCAAAATAAAGGAAAGATGAAACTCCAAGAATAGCAAGCCTAGTTTTAACATTTACAGCTGGGGAAGCAGCTCTGAGGATAATCTAACTTTGTGAATGACTACAAAAGGTGTTAAATAAGTAGCAGGTGTTTTATAACCCATGTCTATTTGAAAAGATACAGCCCAGATGGAGAAGCTTAAGTACATCTATAGTTTGTATAACCAAACTCCATAGTCACTGGGTTCCATCTGCCACACTAACCTCAAACCACACTTAGTGGCAGCTAATTAACACCTTGATTAAGCTATAGACCACCTGCAGCTTCAGCGATGTAATGAGTTCACTGAAGTTTATATAAACTCATTGTAAAACTTAGATCAAAACAGTGTAAAGAAAAGGGAGGAAAATTCATCAAATGTGTCATGCTCACACACACCAATATTTATGAAGGCATGCATATCAGTGGTCTCATCTCTGCTTCTCCCTTAAATCTTCATTCTCTCAGATGTGGGAGAGAATGGCTATAATCTTTCTAGACTATTAAACCCATAAACTTCAAGCAATAAGGAATATTGTATTGTTTTCTCTCAAGTCAAATTTGAAAACTACCAAGGAAATTCTCTACTTTGCTTAGTTCAGGCATATGGGATTTTTTAATATAGTTGGGTGCTCTGGTTGACAAAGAATTTAGAATGGTTGCCTAATCTTGTGGCTTCTATAACAAGATATGGTTAGCAGACCCAAAACCATTTGTGTGGAACAGGTGACCAAAAAAAAAAAGTAATCATCTGAAAAAATAACATAAACAGCATAAAACAATTGATACATGTATGTATTGTTAGATGTACAATATAAATGCTTTGCTTCCCTCGTTTTTTAATTGGTAGAATTGTCACTGCCTCACCTATGAGTTGAGGAGCAGCTTTTTATATTAAGAAAATGAGTGACTTCACATAAGAGAAAATTAAAATATTAGTTAAATATGTTTAAGCAAAAAACCAATCTTTTGTATGACTTTTATGACACCTTAACTACTAGCAGCTTTCAAGATTGATTGATGAAAGGAGAGCAAGAAAAAATATAGAGATAATCATGATCATCCAGATATGGTAGTGTAAAGGGAGGAGATAAGAATAGAAGGTAAGTCTGTTTGAGGTTACACAGTGAAGAAGTGCATAGGTGATATCTGTTCTGCCCACTTTACCCCAATGGCCACAGTAATTATGGATCAACTGTTTCTCAACTAATCATGGTAAAAAGTGACACTTGTAAGAAAAAAATCAAGCAAAATGCTGGAAAGCTGGGAAATAAAACAACAATAAAATAAACCAACATACAAATAGGTTTAATTTTACACAGCTCAGATTATCAAGAATCTCTTAGTAGAGTTAGTTATTCAAAACTATGAAAAAAGATTCATCAAATTATTCAGTACTTGGTATGGATGTGCATTTTCTCTTTTGAAGAGTCACTATTTTTTTTCTTAAATTCTTTTATTGGTACATTTTAGGTATACAATACATTTACATTTATCACTGGGAACTTGTACCTTTACATAATATATTTTGCTTCTTTTTTCCCCATTCCCCTGCCCTCCCTTCAACTTTCAATAAAGAGACCCAGGACTTTCTTGACTCTAAGTGATGACATTCCATGACAATCTTTTTTTCAAAAATGAAGAAAAAGAGGTTCCTGAATTTCATTATATCCTCTCAAGGGGAAAAGGTTCAGTTTTAGTTTAAATTAATACATATCTAGTAAAGTTAATGTAAAAATCCTTTACTTGCTTTGAGATAGTATTTTTTAAAATTGTAAAAGACAGCAAATGGTCCTCAGTATGCACTGTAATAAAGAATTTGTAACAGGGACTTGCCCATATGCAATTTTGAGAGCTGACTGAATATTCTCTATGAAGTCTTTTGTCTTTGCATCCAATTGCAGAACATGAAGTTTTCAGGACAGGCAGTCAGGAAGAAAGGATGGACATAGAGTGAAGGAGAGCAAAGAGAAGATGGAATCCAGGGTCAGGAGCTGGAACTACAGGTGAACTAGAGATGTGCTGTTTCTCATCATCCCACCCCTGATTATGATGTCCTGAAAGAAAAGCCAGCTCTCTCTAAGAGCTAAACACACAACTGTATTGCTTCTGTACCAGCAGAAAGTATCTTTGCTAGCATTTCATATTATCTTTACTTTTAATTTTATCTCTCTTAGTAGGTAGTGATATCTCATCATAGTTATAATTTGCATTTTTCTAATAGCTGATGATACTGGATGTCTTTTCATTTCTAACTTAATGACTTTTCAGTCTTCAGAATTCTTTACGTATTCTAAATATGAGTCCATTGTCAGATATGTAGTTCATAAATACACACTTCCAATTACAAATTATCGTTTTATCTTCTGAATAGTCATATAGAGCACAAGTATTTAACATTAATTAAGTATAATTTATCTATTTTCCCTCTATAGATTATGATTTTGGTGTAATGTTTAGGAACTCTTTCCCAAGCTCTCAAAGATTATTGCTAGTCTCTTGTAACATTTTCATTGGTTTCCCTTTAAGAATGTGATCCATGGGCCATCTTTGGCCAGTCCCTGTTCTGATTTCACTACCTGGCATCATCTATCTAGTTGTTGTTAATAGTTCCCTACTCTTTCCTGAAGAAATTATATTGCCATGACTGGGTCAAGGGCTTTGGGGTAAAGGACAAGTGTTATAACTAACATTTTGCATCTCTGATTAGCTTTATATGTAATTTATTTTAAGAAAATCTTCCGAACTACTTCTGTGAGAGAATGGGAGGGTTGAATATTCTGTGTGTTTGGTGGGTTTTGCTTTCTTCCTAAATATTTGATCATTCAGCAGCCAAAGGGATCTGACCTGGGAGGACACAGTGACGACGCCACTGTGAGCAAAGACTACTTCAGGCTCCCTGAGGACCATGTCTGTGGATTTTAAAACTCATGTAGACCAGGAATGTAAAGCTGCTGAGGAATTTGTCAATATTTATTATGAGACAATGGATAAAAGAAAAAGGGCACTTATTAGGCTGTATCTGGATGAGGCCACTTTAGTATGGAATGGAAATGTTGTTACAGGGCTGGAAGCCCTAAGTAATTTTTTTGAGATGTTGCCTTCTAGTGAGTTCCAGGTTAATATGTTAGATTGCCAACCAGTTCATGAGCAAGCTATCCAGTCCCAGACTACAGTTCTTCTGGTAACCAGTGGAACTGTGAAATTTGATGGAAATAAACACGACTTCAACCAGAACTTCCGGCTGACTGCTCAAGCCACTTTTAACAGCACTGTGTGGAAGATTACAAGTGATTGCTTCCATTTTCAAGATTAGGCTAAAAGTTAAAAGGGCAAAAGTCAATTTTTTGGTCCTTTAGGTCCAGCAACAGAAGTTTATCTGAATTAATTAATTTTATTGTAAAAACACTATAAATTAGTATGTGCTGAAACTAGAATTCTTCAATATTTTCTTATTTCTGACAGCAACTTTTCTAGTAACTGCCAGTTTGGACTATCGCCCTTAAGAGCTTTAATGCTAGTTTTTGGCATACCTTATATACATTCCACTGATGACATTCTTAGAGTAATATTAAACATATGATTGCAGTACTAATATACTCACTGTGAACCCAGCCTATCGCCAAAATCCTTTTGTAATACTATCTATGGGATGTCAGCACAACATAACACTCTGGGAAGAAGTAGAATTTTTTTGGTTATTAATTTTGTAGCAAAACTCATGCCTATTTTGAGTTAACACTCGTAATGCAGTTTTAATATATAAGTATAGCCTTTTCAAATCAGTTCAGTTTATGTTTGCCTAAATACTCTGACATATTGAAATTACATGTTGAAATATTCCATAGTCTTTTTTCATATTAAGTTTTCTTATGTTGACATATTTCCTTAACAAGTGAATTAGTTACAGAGGTGAAAATTGTTTTTCTTTGATACCTGATTCATTGGTGGCTTAAAAGCAGAACTTAAAAACATTTTTCTTGGCAGCACCAGGTCTACATATTTTGGGAATGTATGATAGTAGAACTAATAACATTTTTAATGAGAAATGTGAAAGTCCAAAGTTAAAGACAAAAATAAGGGGGGGGTGAGTAAATGGTAAAATGTTGATACTTGTTTTCTACCTTCTAAAAATGTAGCCTATTTTTAGGATTTCAATTAATAAATCAATAAGTATTATTGCTAAATGGTCATGAGCATCACTTTTGTTCTGAGAATGTTTTTTAAGGTCTTTGCACTTCATTCTTGTCATCAGTATATATCTCAATTTATTCAAGAACTTATAGGGGTAAAATGTCAGCAATAAGCCTGACCTGACAGGGTCTAACATGGAAAGTTGGAAACAAATCCATTCCTCTATCTTTGTTACATCCTTAACTTCTAAGTCTTCCATGTGAATTTCAGGCCCAGAGACTTCTATGTATTATCCACCCCAAAATGAGTGATTTTTCCCCCTGTGTTTTGTACTGTTAATTATATCATTTATTATTTAAAATTAAAATTAATTTGATTTATTCTTCCATATGGCATTGGGCAAAGAGATTTGTTTTAAAACACTTTTCTGTTATGTGACTAACTCATTGTCTTTTTAAAGAGAAAACAGAGAACAACAGATCATCATAACTTCCAAAAGAATAAAATCATTTTATGTCTATACTTCTAAAGTGAAAAACCCTAGCTCTGATTTTTGGATAAAACTTATTGATCTTTGCAATTTTCTAATGTCTTTAAGCTAGATATATCAGCCTTGTTTATACATTACAATCAGAATTAATGTTTTTATTAAATTCATTTAGTCTTGCCCAAAATTGTACACTGTATTTCTGATATAGTACCAAAATAGAATTAAACACAAAGGGTTGGAACTGATAATTAAACTACACCTTCTTATTGAACTAATCAAAACTTATGCATTATAGTATTCTACTCAAAAGTGAGATTATTCTTACTTTAGATTGTTTTGTTTTTTAAACCACAGCTTTAGCAGCAACAAAAATGGCCAAATACTGTCCTTTCCATTGTGGAGAAGAGTCCCAAATAAAAGCTGCATGTAACTAGCAATAACTGAACAATTGTAAATTACTTTCTCCAAACTCTAACTTTGAAATGCCTAGAACTGCTCTTTTATGGACTAGATGGTATTTTTGACATGGTCATATTTTTATAACTTGAAAAATAAAATTTGCCTGGGACAAGTTTCTCAAAAAAAAAAATATCTTGGGCAACTTCTGCTTTTGGTTGACAATATTTCAGAATATTGACATGAATATTCCTCCTTATCCCAACAGGAAAAGATTAGGCAAACTTCCTTATTCCATAGTCTCAATATAATGTTTAAAAATCAAATAGTTATGGTACAAATGATTCTCATATGACCTTTGAAACTGAAAACACTAAGACTGTAATAATTTCCTACATTGTTCTAAGCTTTTGAGCTCACATTTGTTTCTCATTTTCCTCTATCTACAGAGAGTAGCTACCTTTACAAATTCAATTCATATTATTTGTTACAAATTTTTCATTATAAATTCTATAGGTCAGTGCCTTCCTTATGATTTCAAGTCTTAAATAAATATTTGGTTTTCTATTCTTGTTTTTATCAAAACCTACATTTGGAAAGAAAACAATGTACACAGTGGCAAATCTGAAGATATATCCATCTCTCAAAGTTGTGTGTAAAAGTATAATAACATTGTCCTCCAAAATTTTCCAACTTTCTCAAATTGACTATCATTCAGTTATTTTTCTTTCTTTGAAAGTATAAACAATCACTATTTCTGTTTAAATTTAGGCATATATAAATTGCATTTTTATATTTACACCCATTCCTTTGAATTTCTAGTATAAAACATACAATTCCACTGTAGTTACCTTATCTTCTTCATATAGTAATTGAGTGTATTGAGTATTAAAAACTGTCAAAGTGTTGTGTAGTGAATCTCATATTTTTATAATATTTGTTTTAATATTTTCAATTGAAAATTGAAAATAATTTCACAAAAACAATATTTATCATTTTGTAAATATGAACATGACTGACAGACTCCAAAGTAAATGATTATATGTGTCTAGTTTAAATTAGAAAATTAACTGTATTTTTCAATGCTTTAAGATAATTAATACTAAGTTAATAATTAGAGTGAATAAATCTCTAAAATTGCTTTAACTCACATGTTCAATTATTCAAATATTGCTAGCCTGAATGTTAAAATATTGAGTACACAACTGAAATTCAGCATGTTTAAAGTTTTCATCTAAATAACGTGTTTCAAAACACATCAAATAATAATTCAAAATAAAATTATTGAGGAACTTGCAGTTCAGTGGCCACTTATGCATCTGTTTTTCTAATGTTAGCAAATTAAAGATTGCAATGGAAAGGAGGAGGCTTTAAAAATAGGAGTCCTCTTACCTAGTTCTCTTACCTGGTACCCAGATACTACATTATTCTCTTATATGCCAGTGGGGAGGCAAAAAGAATAACATTAAAATCATTGGAAATAATTTAAGTGTGTTAGCAGTTATAAGAAGATTAGTTTAAGGGGCAAATAAACAAGTACATCTCAAAACCAAGGAGCATAGTACAGTATAATATTTAATGGTCATAGTGATTATTCCAAGTCATTAGAAAATACACAATGAAGACTACATTCTGGCTAAAAAGAAGTGGACCCACTCTCTGTGGTACAATAATGGTGAATACATATCATCAGAAGTGTATTGAAACCCATAGAATGCACAACATCAAAGTGAACCCTAATCTACTAGTGTACACTTTGGGTGATAATGATGTGTCCAGATAAGTTTATTAATTTTAACAAATGTGTCATTCTAGCAATGGATGTTGATAAAGGAGAAGGCAATGGATGTGTGGGGGAGGAGTACATAGGAAATTGCCGTACCTTCTGCTCAAGTTTGGTGTGAACCTAATACTGGCCTAAAAAATATAAGGTATATTAAAAGCAACTGGACCAGATATCAGATACCAGAAACAGATATATGTTTATACATGTTTAAAAACAAGACAAATCTTTAGGTTCTTCAGCCAAAATATCTACATTCAAAATACTCCACTAGTAACCCTGGATGGAAACTTGGTTTATATTTTCTAACTAAGTGATAGTTTGGGGTGGTATGGTGTGGTATACTCTTGGCAGTTAGAATAGTCACTACATTTTCAGTGGTGGTAACTGAAAAGAGAGGCTCTTGGGCTGATGGAAATATTGTTTTTTGTTTTTGTTTTTATTCTTGATTCTATACTCTTAGGTGTATTTAATTTTGGCATGAGCCTTACCTCAAAATCTATACATTAGTAATTTTCTTATTGGCTATCCTTGATTGATGAAATTCTATCAGCTGCTTCCTAATAATTTACCCTAGTGATTAAAATATATATGCACTTAATTCCTAATCATATATAAAAAAGCATATAGGACTTAATTGCATCTGAGCCAAGTTCCAGTTTCCTAAATGAAAAGGATATTGATTTAGTTGACTTTAACTTCATATTAAAAATATATAATCATTTTGAACTCTTTTTGTTAAACTATTTCTAGTAGTTTTTTCAATTAAATATGGTGATAAGATAGTTTTGTTATTATTGTTATGTAGTCTTTTATTTAAATAGTCATTAGTCTTCATGAGAAATATCTCACATATTTTACACTTTCTTCTTGGCCCTATTGTATTACTATCCGGTGATGGTGAGCCTTTTAGAGCTTTCAGTGATACAAAACACCCTCCTGTGGCATGTGTGGCATAGTTTCACCACCACTCCTACACTGAAGTATCTTCAAGAAAATACACTTAATTTCAAAAGCATACCATGCTATTGTATACAAGTATTAGGTGTTTTTGTATGTGTTCTTTTTATGACAGAAATAACATATGAAACAAGTCTGCACATAATTTCGCCTCAATGATTATCACAGGAGCCAGGCCTTGTGTCTTTTCTGTTTATTTATGTTCATAGATGCCATACTCATTATGTTTGCTCAGCGAGCAAGGAAAAAGACTTCAGATCTATGCTTTTATTCAACTAACAAAAACTCTTACATGACATTAGTACAGAAACTAATGTAACTACAGTTCATTTATAACAGCAAAATCAATGTATAATAATAAAAAGTTAGTTTGGAGGATCTCAATATTTTTATGCTTCAAAATTTACAATTTAATTTTTAGGAATTTGTATTTCAAATGTGTTTATTAGAAAGAACTTTGAATAGTTCATAAAGAATCTCTGAAATCTCAAAAAGTGTCTGTTAAATATCAAAGAAAATAAATTATAGCTAAAGTTTCAAATTAAATTTAAATAAGACTTTTTCTATACCTGTCTGGATTTTTCTTCAGATCTTGACATTGGTAGAGTACAAATCTTCTCCAATTTTTTTCATTTCACTGAAATTCCCAACTATATGATATGATAAACTTTTCCTTTCAAGATTTCAAAAGATTTTGGTGAACTTTACCATTTCATTTTCTTAGTGTGGAAACTAAAACAGAGTTTCTTAGATTTTTGTTTCCTATTTTTTATGTCATATTTTCTTTGTTAATAAATTAATATTTTTGTAAACTGACAGATATAAGAGCCTTAATGAGTATATTATGTAAACAGATTTGTGAATATGGACAGATATGTATTCTTTCAAATATTTTAAAATCCTGACAATATTGAGTTTTTAAAGAGATACAATTCTATAGCTATGCCTCAAAGATTGAGCTTAGCCACTTATAAGTGGTTACCTTGATCAAGTTATTTAATTTCTCTCTCAGTTTTGTTGTCTCTAAAATAGGAGATAATAACACTTGCTTCAGTGTTAAATGAGTAATATTTTAAAAAATTTTTGCGTTATCAGTACTAATTGAACATTAACTATATTGTTATTTTGCAGAGATATTGTAGATTCAACCATGTACTTTGTAGTTTCAAAAAATATGACTTTTCAATACATGGACTATCAGGCTGTATTATATCAAATGTAGAAACAAAAGGGGACTTTGAGAATAAGATGACCTCAAAGTGAAGTGTGCTTTTTATTGTTTTTATGTCTTTATGAAAACTTTGGATGCATTTAGCCACTTTCAGATT